CCGCAAACCCTCCCCAATTGCCCAAACCCTGATTTAGGGTTTGCGCGCAGCGGCAAGAAGACCTGCCGCTGGCCTACTGGCTGGAGCTGACGGGGGTGGACCGGGCTTGGAAAAGAAGTGTTTGCGAACGCGAGGTGGTTTTCAAACAAAAAAACAAAACCCTTTTCTTTATTTCTTCAAAACAAAACCTTTTTCTTTATTTCATCATTTATTTTGATTTATTCTTCATTTATTTTCATTTATTTTCGTTTATTTGGATTTATTCTTCATTTATTTTCATTTATTCTTCATTTATTTCCATTTATTTTCATTTATTTTGATTTATTCTTCATTTATTTGGATTTATTCTTCATTTATTTTGATTTATTCTTTTTTTATTTTCATTTATTTGGATTTATTCTTTATTTATTATTTATTCTTGATTTGTTCTTCACTTCCTCTTTATTTCCATTTATTTCCTCTCAGACTTCTTCTGCACTTCCAAAACAAACATACAAACAAAACCATTTCCCATTACTTCTCTTCACTTATCATTAATTAATTAATTAATTAATTAATTATTTATTTATTAATTATTTAATTATTTAATTATTTATTAATTATTAATTAAATTAAATTAAATCTGATTTAATTCTACATTATCCTCGCAGGTGGTGGTGGGGGTGATCGACACTGGGGTGTCTGTACACCACACGGCCCTGCGCAGCAACATTTGGCAAAACGAATTCGAAATTCCAAATAATGGAATTGACGACGACAGAAATGGATATGTCGACGACATTAACGGATTTGACTTCTTTTTAAAAAGGCCCGAAGTCTCAGACCCCCACGGCCACGGCACCCACGTCGCGGGCATTATCGGGGGCAATTTGGGGGCCCCCCGGGGGCCCCCCCGGGGGCCCCGGGGGCCCCCGGGGGGCCCCCCGGAGGGTACCCGGGGGGGCCCCCAGCCCGGGGCTTTCACGGGGTTTGCAGCAATGTCAGTATTGCGGGTTTGAGGTTTTTGGATGGCCAGGGAAGCGGAGCAACTTCGGATTCGATTGAAGCTTTGAATTATGCAGTTGAAATGGACTTTCATTTAACTAATAACTCCTGGGGGGGCCCCGATGTGTCCAGTGGTCTGCTGCAGGCGATAAAGAGGGCCAGTGCAGCGCAGCAGCTGTTTGTTGCTGCTGCTGGCAACAGCAGCAGCAACGCGGACTTAAGGCCGGAGTATCCAGGAGCTTATAAAGTTGATAATGTTATTTCTGTTGCTGCCACTGATGAAATGGACAAACTCGCGGCTTTTAGCAATTATGGAAGAAATGCAGTTCATTTGGCAGCTCCGGGGGTTTTTATTATTTCTTCTTTTCCGCCAAATACTTTTAAAAGTCTTTCCGGGACTTCAATGGCAGCTCCTGTTGTTGCTGGAGTTGCTGCTATGCTGCTCTCCGTCAGGCCCATGAGGGTCCAGGAACTCAAGGATATTCTCTTCGATACCGCAGATAAACCCAAGAGCATTCGAGGCAAACCCTAAACCCTAAACCCTAATTTAGGGTTTGCGCGCGGGAGGGGTTGCTGCGCTAGTTTGGCAGTTAATTGGGCTTTATTTGGTTGGATTTAATTGGATTTTGTTTTAATTTAATTTTTAATTTTGTTTTTAATTTTGTTTTTTGTTTTTATTTCAGATAAACTCCGGACAAATGGAAGGGTGAGCGCGGGCTACGCCGTGTGCGCGGCGGAAGCAGCAGCAGCAGCAGCAGCAGCAGCAGCAGCAGCGGAGCGGAAGAACAAGTCGGTGATTCTGCGGAAGCTCAAGAGACAGAAAGAAGCGGCGAAAAAGGAAAACAAAACGGAAAACAAAAATGAAAACAAAAAGGAAAACAAAAAGGAAAATAAAACGGAAAATAAAACGGAAAACAAATCCGAAAAGAGCTTCGAAAACGAATCCGAAACAGCGGAAGAAGAAGCAGCAGCAGCAAAAGCCAGAACGCGCGGCTGCGTCTAGGCCGCCTCCAACAAGTCCATTTGCAGCTTCTTTTCCTCTTTTTCCCTTTATTTCTCCCCTTTGCCCTTTTAAAACGCAAATAATTTTATAAAATAATATTTATTTCTCAATTCCGCTTCTTTTAATGCACTCGGCGACTCCCAATCTTCAAAAATGCATCTTCCACGCCGGCTGCTCAGGTGTACGTACACCCCACGTTCCCTTTGTCATTTCATTCTTTCATTCTTTTATTCTTTTATTCTTTCATTATTCTTTTATTCTTTTATTATTCTTTTATATTCTTTTTATTCTTTTATTCTTCTTTTATTCTTTTTATTCTTTTTGGCTCTTATTTTGGCTCTTTTGGCCTTCTGGAAGGAAAAGGCGAAAAGACCGGGTGTCTGTACGTACACCCGAAAGAGAGGAAACTTTTCAATTAAATGTCATTTATATTTAAATGCCATTTCTATTTAAATGCCATTTATATTTAAATGCCATTTATATTTAAATGGCCATTTATGTTCAAATGGCATT